GCCAATTAAGTAAGAGGCCTCTCAGAGTTGGTAAGACAACTCCCACCTTTTCATGCTCTCTGTATGTGTGTGTATATATATCTATACTCAATATATGTTCCATTCTATGCATCCGAAAAAGTGAGCTGTAGCCCACAAAAGCTTATGCTTAAATAAATTTGTTAGTCTCTAAGGTGCCACAAGTACTCCTGTTCTTTTTGCAGATACAGACTAACACAGCTGCTACTCTAAAGGCTGGAACTTGTCTCCACACCTTTGTATAAAGGGAGAGAGTGGAACAATGGGTTCTGTTTCGCATGAACTAGATGCAGCTCTTTAATTCCTTGCTAGTTGCCAATACTGGTCTTCACCTCAGTATATCTTAATTTCTTCCACATATCCTCCAAGTCTGCATCCTCCTAAACAGAGGCAAAATATAGGCAGGAGGGCATGTGGGGTCACATGGTGCCACAGGGCCCCTCCCTGTGGAACAGCTGAACCAGGCCTGCTTGAGGCAGAAGGGGAGGAACAGCTGGGAGCTGCTGCTGCTTTACCTCGGGGAAAGACAGAGGAACAGCTGGGAGCTGCACAGAAGGGCTGCTGCTTTCCAGAACGGGAAGGACTCCCAGAAGAGGAGGGGGCTTGACTCCAGCTGTTTGGGGGTTGTGCCCCTCCACACACACACACACACACACACACACACTGTCAGCAGGAACCTGTCCATAAACCTTTCTGTATCCTTCTTTTGCAGTCTGTCTACATCTTTCCTAAATGACTGTTCCCCCATACTGCATACATTGTACCACTGATGGTGTAGTTAGTGTTGTGTAAAAGGCAAGAACTTCCACATTTACCTTATATATCCTTTTTTTAAACCACTGAATTTTGGGATCCTGTATTATAAAGTTTAAATAAATTATTGTAGTGATTTGCCTTCGGTATTTGTTTATAATGAAAACCCTGTGGGCCCTCCAAAATTCTATTCTTAGACATTAAAGATTTCTCTTTGACTTCTCATCTATGCTAAAAACAAAACAAACCCCATTGCTAACAATGGCTCCGATCTTGCAGTTTAATCTCAGTGTCCTCATGAAATCCCCTTGAGGTTAATAGGATTCTGTGGAGGCCAGAGGTGAAAGTAAGCCGGTACGGCATACTGGCAAGAGCCAGTACAGTGTACCGGACCAGCTTCCCCAGGTGGCAATTTAAAGGGCCTAGGGCTCCCAGCAGCGGCCGGAGCCCTGGGCCCTTTAAATCGCCGCCTGAGCCCTGCTGCCAGAGCCCCAGGGTAGCAGCAGCAGCTGGGACCCCCTGGGATCTGTTGGCAATTTAAAGGGCCCAGGGCTCCGCTGCAGCAGCAGCGGCTGGGAGCCCCTGGCCCTTGAAATCACCGCTGGAGCCCCCAGCCACCGCCGTTACCCTGGGGCTCCGGCAGCAGGGCTCAGGCGGCAATTTAAAGGCTCCGGGGCTCTGCTGCAGTAGCGGCAGCCAGAGCCTGAGGCCCTTTAAATGGCCCCCGAGCCCTGAGGCTCCCACTCACCTCTGCAGCTGGTAGCTCTGGCAGTGATTTAAAGGGCCCCGGGCTCTCAGCCAACACTACCAGAGCCCGGGGCCCTTTAAATCTGGATTTAAAGGGCCTGAGGCTCTAAAGGCCCACCCCCCTGCTCAGGACTCCAGGGTACCAGTAAATCCTTCAAATTACTTTCACCCCTGGTGGAGGCCCACCAGCATGGATTTAGGTTGCATATTCCCCTCCACTTCCACCCTCACATGTCCCCTCATTTGCCTCATCTGGTATTGTAAACAGTTTAATACCTTTACATAACAGTGTTGGGGAAAGCTGACTTGTCTAGCAAACAAATCATTTTCAACTTCAGTTGATGAGTGATTGGTGTCAGGCTCATTGCTGACAACCATTATCATCAATGAATTACTTGTGTAGTGTGGATGGACCCTTATTGTGAAGCTTTGTAGCTTCAAAAAATGAAGGCAAATGCTTCATTAACATGCGTCAAAGAGCACAAGCTAAATTCAGATCCTATATCAGGTAAAAATCCTGATCAGATTAGACTGATTTTGGAAATCAGTGTGTGGAAGTAAAATGCAAACCCTTTTGTGTTAATCCTTAATAGCAAGCTGATCCCCAAATAAAGGTGCCTGATTGGAATAGAACATAGTTGCCTGATGAGTGACACTCATTATTATGCTGTTATTATATCTATAAAACTAATACAACAAACATGTATTTGGGTCTCTAGCCAGGGGGAGGATTTTGCTGTCTGTATTGAAGTCTCTCCCTATGGGGATGGGTGGAGAAGAGTCTGTAATAGACGCAGAGAGAGTAAAATCATCTCCCCCATCAACAGAACGAAAGAAACAGCAGCTGAAACCCCAGCCCGGCAGCCCCAGTATTGTGGCGTCCCCTCTGTAGTCTCCACAGGGATGAAACAGGGGCGGGCTGGATTCAGTTTCCTAATCCCTAAAAGGTCCCCCAGAATTCACTTGCACTGTTAATATCGCCGTCTACTTCCAGCGCCGGTGCAGATGGCTGCGGCTCCTAGCTGCCCAGTAGGAGCACCTGATACTTGTTGTTCAATTCGGTTGATCGTCTGGTTCGCAGTCAAGTGCTGTTTTTTGTGCCGTTTGGACGGGCGTTTCCCTTTAGTGCCTTTGGAACAGGAGAACATTCCACCCCCTCCAGTCATTACACGCAGCCTCTGTCACGTATCTTTGCAGATACCGGAAGATCCCTCTGGGCAGGGAGCTCGCTCCCAGCAAGTGAGTTTGTCTCACTCTCTAACACTAGATTTTAGTCTGGGGTGGACTCGGGTGCTTCTTTACATCTATAGAGTTGTGTTTCTTATTTAGGTTGCAGACGAATAAGGGGGAAGGTGAGGGAGAGTGAAATCTTTCCTCCCCTTGGATTTGCACTTCCTCCTGTTTACTAGTTAATTCAGATGTTAACTGTGTTTTCAGGCCTCATCTCTTTAAGAAACTTCTCCCTTTTCTAGTTGAGCAGTAAGTAGTTTGACAGAGAAAGTGTAATAGGAATGCCCTTTATGGTACTTTTTCGGGAATTATTGCCATCTGTTTGGGTTGTTTCTTGAATTGCAGGATCAGATCTGGGTGGCTAGGCTGACATTTGTAATTATTTTCATTTACTTTAAACTCTAGAAATAATCTCATTGCTCTGGCTGCACAGATACGGTACATTATTTTTCTAAGAGTCAGTATGACATCAAACTTTAAAAGGGGGTTGCGGGCCACAGTCAGTTCTAGAGGTTATATCAGGGGTAGGCAGCCTATGGCACGTGTGCTGAAGGCGGCACGCGAGCGGATTTTCAGTGGCACTCACACTGCCCGGGTCCTGGCCACTGATCCAGGGGGCTCTGCATTTTAATTTAATTTTAAATGAAGCTTCTTAAACATTTTAAAAACCTTATTTACTGTACATACAGCAATAGTTTAGTTATATATTATAGACTTATAGAAAGAGACCTTCTAAAAACATTAAAATGTATTACTGGCACGCGAAACCTTAAATTAGAGTGAATAAATGAAGACTCGGCACACCACTTCTGAAAGATTGCCGACCCCGGGTTATATTGAGAAAATCCTCTTTTTGGCAACTGTACATTCTCAGATTTGAGATGGTCTGTGGAAACTGTTCAAATCTAGTTTAGGTTCAGTCTAGGGTTTGGATCTGGCAGTGCTGAAATTATATGACTATTCACATCAAAGGGACCAAAATGGCAAGAGCTCTATTGATCTTGTAAGATTTTTACCACTTCAGATAGTTTCAGATTTCCACTGTTCCCCTCATTCCAACTTCTTCAACAAATGGGCAGTGGTTTAACTACGCAATACTGATTCATCACTGGAGCGCAGTCCATCCTGAGCAGTGAATGAGGCAGAAATAGTATGGGTAAAGTAGCATGTAATCATAATGTATTCACACAAAGAAGCTCAATTAAGGTTGCTTGGGCAACCTTGATTTGGGCTTTTCCTAACTTCTGAGAGCTTGACTTTGGAAACATATTGTTCTTTTAATGTAGTTTTTTTGTGTGTAATGTGACAAAGTGGACATTTTTCATAATGTTTTGTGTGAATGTCATGTGTATTTCAGTTTCCCCTATGTGTTACATGGTTAACTAGATGGTGGGGAAAGGTTGTTTACTCCTTGCATAGACCCAGAGATTCAGGTGTGACTGATGCCTAGCTGTCTGGGGCCTGGGCCCGACATTTGCCCGACCATCATTGAGATCATCTGGAGAACAAAGGGCTAAGGAGGATGGATGGCCAGGTGACAAGGTTTGCCTGGGAACAAGAACAAAGGACTGAGGTGGGGTTGTTAAGTGTGGGCTGCAGGAAGCAGGAGACACTTCTGGACTGGCACTCAAGGGGGGTCAGAGAGGGCTCTGGTTCTGGTCTGACCCAGAGAGACTTTGTTGTAACTTTCTATTCTCCATGCTAATTAAGAACATCTAATAAACCCTTCTGTTTTTACAACACTAGCTGAGAGTCACTCCAGAATGAGGAAATCAGCGGTGCATTGCTCCCTTTGGGTGTGTAAGTCTTCCCCAGGTGTCCAATTCAGGTGGACTCGCCGAGGGGAGTTCATGGTGTGAAACAGGGGTGCTGAAGGCTCCGAGGTTCAGTCCCAGGAGGTGGTAAAGCCAAGAGGTTTAGCCCAGTGAGAGAGTGTGACCCTGAGGGGGTTGACGCATGGAAGGGGTCATCCCAGGGACTGTTTCAGAGCTGTTTGAGATCGAGAATACTGGACCTGTGGATCTGTGAAAAATGTATAGTGTCTCTGCCTATAAATGGAAATGTATATAAGATGAAATCGGGAATTTGTAGAGCTCTGCAAATCTGCAGATATCCGTTTTAGATCCGCAGACCATGTTTGCGGATCACTGATTGGATGCAGATAAAAATTTTATATCCGCGCAGGGCTCTAGGAATTTATATGTACTGTAATGCTGTTGAGTCATTTTGGCCTTGTCTAAAATAAGAAAATTGCCCACTGCTAATAACAGATGTGAGCAGCAGGTGCACCTGAACTAGTTTAGAACATGATTTCTCTGCAAGTCTAGACCAGGCCAGACACTGTTCAGCAGCATTTCAGAAACTATGGTTAAAACCAATTCAGAGTGGCCTTCTTGGTGGATCTGAAAAGAGAATTAATAACAGTGGAATCTTTTAAAATGTCCCTACTGTAGACAAGGCTGTAATGTTTGGTGATAGGCCACTTGGCTGGGGTATGGTATGTAAGGAAATTCTGGAAGTTTTGTGAATTAAAACACTGTTTGTTTGTTTTGTTTTTTAATAGGATGACTGTGGCAATCTTTGCAAACTGTGTGTTCTTTCTTAAAGTGAAACACTTACCCATTCAGGAGAAGAATAGACTGAGAACATGCATTAAAGAAAATGGTGGAATAATTTATTTTGTGCTAAATCATGAGGTATATTTCACTTCCCCT